AAACTTGCAAAGAAGATTTTTCAAAAGAAATTACTATTAAGGGATCCAAAAGCAATGTATATTTCAGACACATATTCTAAACCTTAATTTATACATTTTATAAAATATATCTAGATAATCAATAATAACCACATTGGTTGATGGACCGACTAGCTTTCATTTTTACTTTTTTCTTGATTGACTCATCAACTATAGGGTATGTCAACAACTCCATCAACCAATCATTGTTCTACAAAATTCAAGACAATAATGAAAATAAAATGCAACAAATGCTTCAACAAACTATACTTGAAACGAAACTAACCAATAATACATGTCTTTTAATGACAATTCTATAGGCATCTAGAAACTTGAAATTTACACTTTGCCACACATTTCCTATATTGAATTTTTTCTGAAAGAGCTTGTAATGACACATGAATGTTTAAGCATCCAATAGTTCCCAGAATGACAGGTTGTTAGAGTACAATCACCAGTTAGATGAAAAAACTAATCGAACAACGGGACTCTTGCATGCAACAAAAACTTTTTACCACCAACAATCATTCTTGAAAGCATTGGATTGTTTTAGTTCTCTTTTTTTTAGTGTTAATTTGTTGATTATGGCAAGAAATCCAAGTTGGGTTTCCTTGTCTACCTTAAAAAATAAAAATAAAATTGCATATTTTACATATAGTAACAAAATAAATAAAACTCATAAAATCAAACCCAAAAGAAAATCTTTCGCAATAGTCTCATACCTGATAAAAAAAAGAACCTTGATCAAACATTAGTCATAGACCTTAAGCAATCCACCATATTTATAAAAGAAACATTACTCTTTTGCTATTTTTTCCTTTTCCCTATTTTCTTTCAAAGTTCAAAACTATTATCTTTGGTTAGCAATCCATGAAAAAACCATGTCCTTGAGCTTCAATATTTTCTCCAAAAAAAATTATTGAAAAAAACCTATTTTGAAAAAAAAATAGTATCATTCGTCTCTTAAAACTAACAATTATTATACACTTTTGTTTGTTTCTCTAAGTGATCGGCCCAAAAATGGGAATGTACCTACAAAAAATTTCAATATATTTTTTTTCAACAATGAAACCTTAAAGATCCAGAAGTTTCAACACATGAAAGAGAAAGAAAAAGGGAAAGATAGCACTTTTTCTCTCTTTCTCTCCATCTCTCTCTTCTCTCTCTCAATTCCTCTATCCTCACTCATCTTTTATCTACCCAAAACCCAAATTTATCATTTAATTATTTTTTTAAAACATAAATGACACGAACAATAAATTTGAAAACTTTTAATCTTGAGACTACTTAAATATAATAATGCATATATTAAAATAAATAATCTTTTTATTATCTAATAATTGTTTATATATTAAAAATTTTTATATAATAAATGTATTTCAAGTGAATCTTTCTCTTTGGTTAGGGTTAGAGAAAGTATATGAAACTTAAACTTTAATATATGGCTAGGCTTATGATCTTCTTACTATTCTAACACAATAATATAAATGATACCACAATCTACCAACAGGCAATAAACTTTAAGGCAATTAAATAAACATAATAGACACATAATCTTACTTGCAATGGAATCGAGAGTTTTAAATGCTTCATGCCTAATCACTGGGTGCTAACTTATAATCCTGAATATATTGCTAAGTGCAGCTGAAATTGCTTTATTTTGCAATTAATCCAAGGCATAAGTAACATATATTACAGCAAGGTAACAAACATAAAAATCAACATAAATCCCACAAAGAAGAACAATAAGAGCTACTCCAAATCAAGATTAAGTTAAGTGAGAAATTACAAACTTCTACAACCTTTGAACTGAAAAAAATAAAATGTAGTCAAATGGGTACCCAAAAATCTAAATATCAAACTTAAAAATCTATGCTTCTTAAAAAAGATAAAAAAACAAAAATTACCTATTAGAATTTATAAGAAGGTTACCCATGAAATTGTCATCATTATAGAAACTCAAAACAAATTCATATTGAAACATAAATTGGTGAAATACATAGGTTATGCCTTTGATCTTACAAGAATCTTAGCTTCAAACCCACATTTTAAGTTTTGATCGAAATTTACACCTTGCAAGAAACAATGTTACTGAATGCATCTCACCTCCAGTAATATGGGTCTCGTCTCTTGACCATCTTTACCTTTGCCCAACATTGTTACTCCTCCTAGGGTTAGAGGTAAAATCTTATGAAATTTGGAGATATAATATTTATAAAAACAAACATGAAACTAATACTAAAAAAACCCCATCACCACATGAAAAGAAAAAACTTTCATGAACGCATGCAAAGAAATCAAAGTATGAAAACAGAAATAATTAATTGAAAAAATAAAACAACACATACCTAAACACAAATTATACATGGAACATGCCATACCTTGCATGTAGAATAAACTAAGAAGGAACATTGAGAATAGAGTTGCACAGAGACAGCGACAGAGCAAAACGAATAGACAAAATAAATAAAGGTAAATAGGGTCTTAGCTTCTTAGAGACAGAAGCCGATAGCAACGATGAGATATCTTCGAAGAACGATCTCTTACTTTTACACACTATCACAGACATCTTTTGCTAAATCAAAGAAACACTCTTTTTCTAACTCTATTAATCTTTATTCCTTCTCTTTATTTCTTTCTTGTCTCTCTAATTTAGAAAAAAAAATTAAGGTTTTTAAGGGAGTTAACTTTTTAGTTTGGTTGGTGAGAAATTGATAAATTCTTTTTCAGAGGGTTTACCTTTGGATTACACTATGTTTGGATTGCGGGGAATGGAAAGAAAAGGAAAGGAAAATAAAAGAAAGTAATGGAAACAGAAAAACTCTTTCTTCGTTTGGATAAACTTTTAATTTAAAGGAAAGTAAAGAGGTAGAAACTAAATATCCTTTGGTTTCCTTTCTAATCCTCACTTTTTTAATACCCTAATTTAGGGGAAAAGCTAAAAAAAGGAAAGTAAAAAAAAATTATTTTTATAAAAAGACTATTATATCAATATTTTTATTATGAGATTAGATTTGATTATATAACTAACACTTCCTACAAAAATAATTTTTTTTACGAGTATTTTATATAACATTACAGTTTATAAATATTTTATGATTTTTCAAGTTTAAACAACAAAACAAGCTAAATTATTTTCATAATAAATTAAAAAACTGAATTAAACATAAAATTAAGGGTAAATCAATAACTAACTAATATATTTTACCATATTAAACATGCTCAATTTTGTTTAGAAAGATTTGTTTATACAAGCTAGGTAGTATAAAGATATACTTGTATATTATATGTTACTTTATAAAAAAAAGTTAATAATTGAAAAAAATATTATAATGAATTATTTCTTTTCCTTTTCACTATTTATCCAAACAATGGTTGTTAGAATTCATTTCATTTCCTTTCTTTATTAATTTTAACTATCCAAACAAGGTGTACATGTACGTTTTTCTTTCTTTAAAAAACTTTCATTTCCTTTATTTATATGTATTCAAACATAACGTTAAGTTTTTTTATTTGTGTTCAAGAAGTTGGATCATATTTGTCTTCAAAAAGCTTCTGGAAAGTGTTTAATTCTAAAATTATTCAAACATTTTTTTATGACATTGATGAGCTATGAATTTCAAATCAGATGGGGACTAATATTATATACAGTTATATATATATATATATATATATATATTCAAATGCATTTTTCATATTTGTTTTCCACGTGATGTGTAAATTACATTTTGAAGCTTTTTAAAATGATAAAAATAATCAAATAATTAATTAAGAATAACTTAGCATTAATCTTTATGTCCATCGTCACAAGTGCACCTCCAAGAATTCAGTTGCCTTGTTGAAAAAAAATAGTCATCATAAAAATTTTTTAGGCATATGATTGGTTATATAAAACAACTTACCATTTTAATTAAATTCTAAAATTAATTAAATTTTATTAAAAATAACTTTTTGTCTACAAAAAACAAATTTAGATTTAAAATACGATTACGCGCAGAAAATATATTAGTATCCCACAATGCCTATTGAAATAATGATACTTAGTAATCATATGTTATTCTTTTAACCATGATAAAATGATCTTAATTTAATGTTCAAATGTAATTCCTTTAATCTTTTTTTATTTTAACCAACTTCATTTTTTTATTTTTCTCTTATCCATTATTTAAATATTAGAAAACTTCAAAAGTCTTTTAGATTGTTTGTACAACTTAAGAAAAACCACTCCTATTAAAGACTTTATCGTGAAATTTATTTTGTATTTTAAGAAAAGAATATAAATTTAAACATTTTATTCAATTTTAAAAAAATTTAATTATTTTTATTTTTATTTTTCATATTTTATTATTGTTGTTGTTGTTGTTATTAATCAAGACATGCATAACTTAATAAGTTTAACCCAGCCCACTACATGTTGGATTAGGCATGCATAACTTAATAAGTCTAACCCAGCCCATTACATGTTGGATTAGGCAAGGCATGACCTATAACGCATTCAAGTCAAAAGCCGTGTTGGACCTACCCTTAAGAAAGTTGGGTCGAGTCATGTTATGGTGGGCTGGATTGGCATTTACTGCCGCCACTGTGCCTAATATTAACACTGCAAACCCAGCTTATTTTGCTACCTCTAATTTTACCTAAAATTTCATTTTCAAAAAAATTATTCAAATAACCGCTAATTTGTAAAAATTTAAACTTTACCAGGAACCCAGTCTGACTGAAATCATGCTTGATGATGCTATTAGGGTTTTGAAAAGTGGATTCAATCTGAAAAGGGATTGAGTGTTTTGGATCCTTGTTGCAAATGGTGACGATAACGGCGGACAAAGTAAAATGATTTTTTCGGTGCAAGGGGTCAGGTTGTCACTTGTAAAAGGAAGGGAAAGTTTGAAAAAGAGGGGGGAAAGCTTGAAGTGGAGGAACAACAGGCGAGAGAAGGGAAAGCTAACTGCCATGCTGAGCCATGGCTCTCTCTTTTTGTCTCTTTATATAGATCATAAAGAAACTCAAAAGTAGATATAGCAATCGTCCACAAATCAAGTTCATAGTTGATATTGTAATTCGTAATACGGGTTAACAATTATTACAAGTTCATAAGGTAAATGCACGAGTTTAAGATCATCACAATCCCTGGAAGTAACATGTATATTTATTATCAGAAAGCAAGCTAGAAAGAATTTCAGGCTTCAGCTAACTAGGCCACAATCTTATTACATCCTCTCTTGTAGGTTTGGCTGTATTGGCTGCACACGGAAGGCGAAAGGCATCCGCGAGATGTACTCCCGGGCTCGCTGGCATCCACCATCCATCTGTTCTCTTGCATTATCATAAGCTATTTGCTGTTGATTCTGTTCATTACAATACCCATTCATGAATATCAGCAAACTATGGGGGCTACGAGTTTGAGACAAGAACATATAATTATTACACAATATATGCAAAAATTTTAATTATCTAAAAAATAGTATATAAATGTAAACATGCATGCCAATGAAACTTTATTTGGCGTCTAAAAAAGTGGAAGATTTACATATAGAGGGATAAACAAGAGGAAGAATTCAAAGACCTTTAGCCTTCTACTGATCTAGAAAGATCCTAGCTTCCTAGGCCTGGGGCTCATATTCTTTTGTACTGCTTTAGAGAAGAACTATATGCTCCTCTGAGGAAATATGTCACCTCAACAAGGTGCTGCAATATGCATTGTGCTTTGTTTGCATCTTAGTTGGCTACTGGGACTCTAGAGCTAACATGACATTGCACCACTCAATTAATCCCAACTTATGGGAACCCAATACCACTTTTATTTCTCTAATTTCGTTTTTATTCCTGAAAACTAGCATAATTTGTCTGGTAAGTGTAGACAACCCTATCGATATTCGATGAAAGTCGAAACTAGGTGTATGAGAAAGCTGACCTTAATTAGACATTTTCTCTGCCCCTCCCCAGTCCCCATCTTTTTTTTTTCTGCCCTTGCTGCCATTTCATAACGGCTTCTTTAATTACATGCACAAATTAATCCCAAAACTTTCAAGTTATGATCACCCTATTAGTGAAACGCCAGAAAAAATCTTCACCAAGTGCTAATTTCTGTGCGGTGCCCACTCCATTAAAACATATGCTATATAATTTTTTAAAAAACAAAAATACTAGGTCTACAAGGAGAATTAATTAAACTGAGTTTCTGAACTTTGGATGGGAAAAGATAGATGCGGTTTAGGAGAGTAAATACCACAATGAAGTTGAGCTGCTTATTGTCCTCCTCCAAGAATTTCGTCTGAGAAGCACAACCAAAAGTGTACACTTAGGCAAATAATCTTCTCAGTTAACAGATGCCAATTAAAGAATATATATGTATATATGTGTGTGTGCGAATAAGTAAATTAATAGTAATTCTATCATCAATTAAGAGTAAATTATAATCACAAAAATACTGTACTACTGGTAATTATATTAATACTATATGCATACGTTTTTCCTTGTCACATCAAGGACGTCCATCTGTACAAAAAAAAAAAAAAGGAACCAAAATGAGATTGATAGGCTTTAACTTACATGCATATATGGGGAAGTTAAGGGAAAATAGAGTGTTATTAATGTAAGTAACTAATATACTGGCCTGTTTGGTACGGATACAGGTAAGGCCGTGCTCAAGAGCATCCTCAATGGCCATCAGCTCCTTGTAAGGCAAAGAGGTGATATCCTCCCCTTTCAAATGCCTAAGGAAAATACTTCAAACATATAAGACTAAGAGACAGATAAAGAGATGCCAAAGAAACAAAGCTGAAAAAGTATAGATATATACCTGAGTTCAATCTGCATGTTGTCATTCTCTTTCTTGATTCTATCTATTTCATTGCTGAGGTTCTGCAGTGAGTTTTTTGTTTTAAGAGAAAAAAAAATCTGTTTGTTTATCTTTCCCAAGAAAATCATAGCTATATATGAGCTTATTATATATTGGTATATTGGTTAAATACTTAAATTCATGCTTTAGACCAAGAAACCCTAGAGCTTCCATCATGAACTAGGTAGATCTTACTTGGAGATCTGTTACATCTATTGTTGTTTTATGACTTTAAACTGAATCCCATATAGTTCTTTCAGTTTTTACAAGGAAAAGGAAGGTGGAGAATAACATTTTATTACCATATCTGTTGATATATGATGTTACATTTCAGATACTTTTCAACCAAAAAAATATAAGCATAAGAGAGAAAGGGCTAAAGCAGCACATCAATTCATCCCATTTGTAGATCTATTCAGGGAATTCATAGTTCATTTTTTTATATATTTCTTAGCAAGAAGAGGGTCATTTTCCCGGTACATGCCAGAGAATAGCAGATGCCCTTTGCAGGGGTCACAACAGATAGAAAAAGAAGATGAAAGAAAATTTTAATCAAAAGAAACAAAGAAAAAGAATCAAAAGTACCTCATGTTTAGCATCCCACAACTTCTTTCCTGAAGTCTTCTGATATTGGTCCAAAATATCAATCAATCTTGATCATATGAGGTTTTTTTTTTTTTTTTTTGCAAAAAATCAAAAGGAACAAGCAAGTTCAGAAAACCCAATGAAAAAAAAAAAAATTCCTTGCAGTTAGAAGCAAAACCAAGAAAGTAAAAAAGAGTGAGAAAACAAGGGAGAATAAAGCATCATACGTAGTGGAAGGGCTGCAATACTCATGCATCTTCCCAGAACTAGCAAAGATAATAAGAGAAACTTTAGCATCACACATCACGGTAATCTCCTTAGCTTTCTTCATAATCCCATTCCTTCTCTTTGAATAAGTAACCTGCCTGTTGCTTGAGTTCTCAATCCTCTTAATCTCAATCTTGCCTCTCCCCATCTTTTCTCTCTCCTTGCACTTCTGTTTTCTTTTCTTTTTTGCTTTAATTTGCTTGTAAAATGATGAAGAATGGAGCAGAAAATAACGTTTAAAGACAAAGATAAGAGAGGAAAAGTAACAGGGAAACATTCTACATCAGGTTGGAGGATAGAAAACTTTCTTGATGTCACAGTAGGGACATGTTTGTTTCAGGGTTATTGATAAGGCTAAGCCACCTGTCTTTTCCTTAACAAAAACAACTCTGATAGCTTTGTGAGTTTTGGTTTCACCTTGTTAACCATTGGTCTTCATGATCCTCTCTATGTGATACTACCTCGTAGTATTAATTGAACGAAAGCTTTTGAAATGGAAATTTGGACAAGACTAGGGGGAAACTGATGAGATTGAGAAGGGAACAACAAAGAATTTTGTAGGGTGGCTATGTTGATACATAAACTGAAACGAAAAGAAATTGATGTGCATGTTTAAATGTTTAAAGGACACGTGTCATACTATGGGGCCTTTGAAATCGGTAATAGTGGTAGTAATCTATAATAAATCATTTCTTAACCATCAAATCAAAATCAAACAGAAATTTTCTTATAAAACTGAATGTGTGAATAAGTAATGGAGCTGAATTAAAGCCAAAGGTTGAGAAGGAAAAAAAACAAACACATTATAAGATGTGTGATTCTCCATGAGTCAAAAAGTATCCAGTCCTTTCATAAACAAAAGCGCTAGGAATTGGCTCGGGCAGATGGGGATCTATGCTTTTGCTTGACTAGGGAGACAACAGGCATTAGTTTCGAACATTATGCAACACTGTAAAGTTAACTTATATTAATTCGTATATCTTATTCTTATCATAAATGTATAAAATATAAAAAGTATAATATTGATTTTGATTTGTTCTCAAACCCATAAAATTCAATCATTCCCATCCCCTTTTGAAAAAGCTAATTTCGGTATTTTAATTTTAATTCGACAAATAGTTTAGATTAATTTGAACTAATAAATCATTTGTTTTGAATCCCACTTTCTTAATTATAGCAATAATTGATGATACTAACACACAAATATACCAATATACAGACGCATACATACATATTTATGGCCTCAAAATTAGATATAGTGATAGTCGAATGATCAAGTTCATAGTTGATAGTAGTAATACAGCTTAACAATTAACAAGTTGAGGTAAATTAATGCGTTTAAGATCAATCATCACAAACCATGAAATATGAAGAAAATTAAAGTTATTATTATCAGAAAGCATATGCAGGCTATAGAATTCCAGTCTTCGGGTAGCTAGATACCTGCCCCAACCTCCACAATCTTCTTAGATCATCTCCCGCAAGTTTGGCTGCATTGGCTGCAGGCGGAAGGCGAGAGGAGTTTGAGGCGAAAACCTGAATAAGACAATAACTCGTTTAAGATATTGGGTTACCGGATCACCGGTTGGTTGAGTCATTTGAATCAATTCTGGGATCAACAAAAATAGTTTTAAAAAATTATAAATACATTAAAAATATTTCACCAATTTATAAATAATTCTAATTAACTTATTGTAGAATTGAATAGCATAAAAAATCAAGATGTGAATTCTATATAAAAAAAAAAAGACAATTACATAAAAATAAATTAAAAAAAGAGAAAAAAAAAATACCTTTAAGCTTCAAAGATCCAAACTAAAAAACTAGTAAAACTTGAAGGATAAACCAATGAAGCTTAGACTTCGTGTATTTTGGCCGGCTAAAAATGGTGCCATTTGTCTTAATTGGTCTTTCATATCCAGTAAAAAATGTGTAAGAAAACTAGAAAAGCAAGGGTTAGGGTTTTTGGGAAAAATTTAAAAGACAGGTTTGTGAAGTTTTTTATTAAAAATGATTAAATAAAACTTAAAATTGAAAATCAAAATGATAGATTAAAACATTTTGTTACATAGATTAAATATACAAAATTTTAAAAAATAATAATAAATTTTGATATATATATTTTTAGACAGATATTTTTAGTAAAAATATTGACAAAATTTTTACTCTTGAATAAGTATTATCAAATTTGAATCATAAATAATATTTTTTAATATTTTTTTATATATTATTGATTTTCATATTGAATTCTATTAATCTATCGATTTGAATTTTTTATTAAATTATTTTTAATAAAAAACTTCACAAATTTCACCTAAAAAAACTTCATGTAAGTTCTATCCTAGGGTTTTTCATTTCATGCATAAGATATCATATCTTTATTTTTTTAATTTTAATTTTTAGTTTTAACTCTTCTTTTTTAGCTTTCAAAAAAAAATGTAACATAAATTTCAAATTTTAAAATATTAAAAATTTAAGATGAATTATTTTGGTTAAATGACAAAAAAATTCATAATTTTTTTTGAAAAGTTAAACTAATCATGGTTTTAAAGTCATTTTAGTAAAATATATTATTGACTGGTTTAACAAAATTCATTTGATTTTTTTATGCTTATTTTTTTTAAATATAAAGGCTAAAGCCATGCTACAATACTCCTACAATGTATGCACAAAGGAGATTTTCTTTACACAAGCGTAAAGATGATATAACCTATTTATAATGTTATTATACTTCCATGGACTTTTCGAAACTGAATTCAATCAAGAGGTAACAACCAACGAATCGGTTTCGACAATAATTTCCCGAAAGCGGTCTATGTTAGCATCAAGAATAATCAAGAGAGCTTCTAGAAAAGCAAAATTTGAATATTGAATTTCTATGTATTTGCAGGAAAGCACGAGAACCTGACCTTTGTGACCGTACCAATTGCGGAGCCATCAACATTCACCTTCCATACACCTTCAGGAGGGGGGATCCACTTAATATTTATCCTGTCTAGTTTGACATGTCGCCGCACTTTCAGATTTTGGATGTTTGATACGACGTCCAGAGAAGTGAAGATTGTTTTAGGAAACTTAGCTTTCATCCATCATCCAAGTCTAAAACAAATCAAATTATAGAGATCATCGGACGAGAGAACTTCTTGGCTGAAGATCCTTTCGTTGAGCGCTAGCCAGACTGACCAAATAACAACATATAGCAACGTTCCCCAAATCTGCTTGTCGGTTTTCTGCACTGCAAGTTGATTCCAAGATTGAAGTAAAAGCCTTAGAGTTCCTGGGATTGTTATGCTCCACTGCTTGCAACACCGGTTCCAGATATTTCAAGAGAAGTGGCAGGAAATAAACAGATGATTAACAGTTTCGATCCCCTCGCAGAAAGGACATTTATTCTCCGCCTTCCTTAGACAGCCTTTACTTTGAAGCACGTTCCTGAAAGGAATGCATCCTTTCACAGCTTTCCTCGCAAAGATTTCAACTTTAGGTGGTGCCACACCTTGCTAAATGAACTTTTCGAGCGATGTCGCATGGGATGAGATTTTCTCTAACTCCAGTCTGAATGATTTAGGATTAAAGACACCGTTTGTTGAGTGTGCCCAAATGGATCTATCAGGAGCCAAAGTCGATAAAAAGACAGTCTATTGTCTTCAGAAAGGCTTCCCATTGATCATACTCCCAATCAAAAACATTGTGCCTCAGTTCAATTTCCATTTCCCCTTCCCCAAATTCCTTGATATATCCATCTTTTTTAACAGCAAGAGCATATATTCTTCCAAAGCTCTGTTTCAATATGTGGCTTTCAATCCTTCTTTCAATCCAGAAAGGATCCTGGAACCATCACCTGCAAAGAAAAACAAACTAAAATTCAAAATTTTAGAGAGCTCTCCACCCTGCCAAGTGCTTTTTTTATGGGTTAATTACGAGAACGATTAGAATTGGATTGATTTCACCATTGGATCACCAATTCAAACGATTCGACCAGTGATCCTATCCAGTCCTAATAACTATGATTATAACGTGAGATTGGTTACCACACATTTGTAACATACGGAAAGATCACTTTTTTTCTTTTTTTATTTTTCCCCTATATACGTACCATCTTATAAACCATCACTAGAATTTAGTAATTTAGTGTCTAGAAGTAGAATATAAGAACTACTATATAGACCATAAGCAAATTAATAGTGATTATATCATCAATTAAGAACCAATTTATAAACAGTAATATATGCATAAATTTTTCCTTGTCATATCAGGGATGTCCATATGTGCAAAAGAAAAAAAAAAAACAAAATGAGATTGATATGCTTTATGTTATAATATATATATAGGGTTATTAACGAGGCCAACCCACCTCCCTTCTTTTTTCTTTCTGAAAAGAAATGGCTTGGTTAGTTTTGGTTTCACCTTGTTGACCATTGGTCTCTGGTGTTTTCTCTGTGTGATAACTGTAATAGTCTTAATACAAGGATAGCTCTAATGGTTAAAAACAAAGATTGAGCAGGGAACAACTGATGAGATTGAGCAGGGAACAACAAAGATTTTTTAAAGCGGCTTTGGCTTTGATGTGCTTGATACTTAAAATGAAAGAAAAGAAATTGGTATGCATTTCGTTTAATTCATGTAATTATTTTTTAAAATAATATTTAATAAATTTAAGATTTGAATTTTTAAATTTGCAATACTCCATTCTATTCTAAATTATGATTTTTTTTTAATACCATAATATAATGAAGCCTTTGAAATAAAAAATACTACCTGTTAAGGGTTTGTAGTGATGGAAACTAAATACGATCTGTATATAATAAACTAATCATATCATACTGGGAACAAAATTAATTATATCTTAACTGTCTAATAAAAATCAAAGAGATATGACAAAAAATCTAAAATCAAAGAAAGTTTTTTTTTTTAACTGAATATGTAAATAAATAATGGAGAAATGTTAAAACGAAAAAAGTATATATGATTTTTAGTTAAAGTGTTAGGTTATTCATAAAAAAATTAAAAATATGATACAATGATACGATATAAATATAATATAAAAAAACATAAAATGACATAATTTAAAATTTTAATAATAATTATATATGGATTTAATAAAATAAAAAATATATTTTATATTTTCATATTAAAACAAAATATTGTAATATGTAATGTTCATATAAAATATTATACAAATATATAAATTTTAATATTTTACACAACATAAATACTAAAATTATTATGTCTTAATTAGGAATTGGGTTGGATAAATGTTGGCACTGTTCTATCCCAATGCTGCTTGGAAATGTTTTCAGAAAGGAAAATTCACATAGGAATTAGGATAGTGTATTGTTTGACGAGGGAGGCAATATGCATTAGTTTTCTACATTATAATATGTACAGTGTAGTTCATTTAAATATGTTAATTTAAAATATTATACGGTAATATAATATAAATACGATACAAAAAAAATAAAAATGATACATTTTAAAATTTTAACAAAACTTATATATAGACATAATAATAACAAAAAGATATTTTTATATTTTTCATGTTACAAATTGTAACATATAATTTTTATATAAATCATTATATAAATTTAAAAATTATGTACATGTTCACTCATTCCTCTTTTATCTTGGCCTTCCCTCTTTTGGAAAAATAATGTTTTTTACTTAGAGAAAAGGGAATTCGATCCTGTGTTAAGAGTAACAGGATCATTTACACACTACCTCATCAAATTCGGAAAAAAAAAAAGTTACTTTACTATGATCTTTCGAAAAATAATTTAGCTATATTTGAATTACCAATTAATTTGTTTTGAATTTCATTTTTTTATTAATAAAATGTTTAGGCCTTTTTATGGAAGAACTTCTACATAAGGTCAATTTGTTAAAACATTTTTTAAGTTGGCAAGCTCGTGTAGAATCCGGAAAAATCAAAAGAGCACCAAGAACAATAATTACAAGTTCTCCTAACTACAACAACATACAACAAAATAAAACAGGGCAGGTGCCCCAAGAACATCCGGTATTTCAGCTTCAGCAGGGAACTACTGGTGAAGGAAGTCATTTTTTGCTCTCAATTTTTTTTTTTTTTTTGCAAGTTCAAACTTCGATTTCCTATCACACTGACACATCCACATAATCTGGACTTGTTGCATGATTCTCTTCTTGAAGCAACCTCTAAATTATGTTACTGGATTAGAACCAATTTGAAATGTTGAAGTCCCGTAGCTTTCTGAGATGTCTTTCCATGTCTTGCCTGCTCTTGGCCCACTCTTCCCTTTCTATTACAGTTGTTGGATCGTCTCTTTCACTCTGAAAGCATAGAAAAGAAAAGTAATTAGGTAATGTAAAACAGGCAACTACAAAAAGTGATTTGGAGCATGGAGAGTCACCGCATGAATAATTTTGAAGGAGTTTCCGTTATCACGTATAACAAGCAGGTCACTCTTTCTATCCCGGTTTCTTCCTCCTGGAACTGTGACCTATAGAAAGAATCAATAACTTAAAACATGGCAAATCACAGAATGAGCTGCAACCATCCAAAAAGGATCGCATGTTAACTTTTAAATGTAGGATGAGGAGGATTCCTTATGACCATAAAAAAAGACCAAAAAAAGTACAAGTCTTATTGCCAAGTTAAACATGTCCATACACAATTAGGAGGCTCTTTTTGGGGGTATTTTAGCATTATTTACCAATTTATATATCATAAGAAATGTAGAAACATTGTGATATTCAGTTGTTGCCACTTGTTGTTGTTGTTGTTCTTCTTCTTCTTCTTTTTTTTTTTTTGCTTGAACCAGCAGTCATTGTTTAATATGTTATAATGTTCAAGTTGTCCTTGAAATAGGTTCTAGGGCAAGCTCAAGGATAAGAACAAGACTGCATCTTCACCCTTACAATGCAAAGCGTCATAAAATAAAATTAAAAAAAAAAAAAGAGCAGAGGAATATTTCTTATCTGAACCCACAAGGCTAAAAATTACTTAATCTAAACCAGAAAGATACCAAAAAGAGAATGGAAGACACAAATTTTGTTGTAGCCTCATGTGCAAAAGAAGAGTATTCAATGTAGATTTAACTACAAAATTTCTTACCAAAACTTTTGCTCTTGTAATTGACTTGGTCTTTGAATCAATCACATATATCTCCTCAAAGTCTAGCACAAATTCTGGGTCACTCAACCTTCGGTTCCTGTAATGTTTTGTCAAAAAAACCTGCAATAAAAAAGCAGCCAGCCATATATTGCTCAAAGAAAAACAATGATCCTATACCTCTGATTGAGATAACAGACAGATTCCCATGTATTGCAAATGAGAGGAAGATTTTTGATTGTTCCGAATTCCTAAATTCTGTAATTTGTGAATCTGACTTATATCTTTGTTTTGGTATCACATCAAGGTTAAGTTGTAATTTGCATACTAGCACCAGCTTCCACCCAATTTTCTTTCTTCTTCTATTGCTTATTCTTATTTCACAGTTCTTCTGGCATGTCCCTTTTTTTTTCTTTTTATTTCTCAATAAATCCCAAATCCTAATTGTTGCAGAGCTATAAAGAACAGACTAACTTATAAATTTATTCAATAGATGTCAAACAACAAGGTAGGCTGCAATTGACAAATACAAAAAGTAGGGCAATAATTGGGATGTTAGCTCTCTTTATGTCAAATCTATAAACTGGTTGAATCTTATGTCCAATTGATAAGCATTTAGAAAGCCTTTATCATGAATGGAAACAGCATAGAAAGATAAGTTAGATGAGCAAGATTGCATATAATAGGACATGGCTAACCCCACATAATGGTTGAGGATTTGCCGAGTTAATTAGCCAAAGATGAGATTGGACCAAGCTTATAGAGAACAGAAAAGACAGATATAACCAACTCTCCAAAAGGTGATAAAAACCTGAAAATTACATTGACAAGAGTCTACCTATAACTGCTAGCCCTTCAAAAAGGCAGTCCTAGCCTACTAATCAAGAACAGAGCTAATGTCAGCAAAGGTAGTTAACACTAGACTCCGGAGGAAAAAGGGCGCATCACACTTCTAAAAATACTTGCAAGAACATGCTTGTAGTATCCAATCCCTTTAGCAATTTTACATTTTTTTCTTTCTAAAGAGTAAAGAAAATGTCATCCCTTAGCAATATTATAACCTTCAAGGGTTGAGAAGGCATAAAATCTAAAAGCCTGGATTAGCCTTTTATTTTAATATCACTAAAATGAAGCATAGGCAAATTATGGAGTTCTATCATAGCTTTGTTGAGGAATAACAGATATTTTTGTAAGAAAGGTCAAACCAACTCAAATTAACCAAACCAAATGCTCTTGAACCAACATAAAAACGAGTTAAAGAATAGCTACCCATAATGTTATTCAGACTACAAACAAAATTAGAAAAGATACACTTGTATCAAGTACATTTTTATCTTGGAAGGGTCAGGTTTGCAGGAGGAGGGAGTGAAAACTAGAAGGCTATTGGATTCACATGTTAAACAAATGACACATTATGCCGCAACAGATAAGTCATACCTTCATGATCTCTTTCTCAGATTTATAAAGTGGATCTCGAGGCGCATCAATGGGTGGTTCCGTAACATTGTAGCAGCCATAATCACTCATTGCACAGCGGATGTACTGTAATTTTGATAAACAGAATCGCACCCATTAATGAAAACGAATCAAAAGACAAATTTAAAGCATGCCAATTTGAGTAGCCATTACCAAAAAGGTCAAATGATTATAAAAAAAAAAAATGAGACAGAGTATCATAAACAATTCAAATCTATAACACATTATAGCCACATTATTCTTCCTCCTCAGAACATTATAGCTACATTAACTTTATATAAGGAATCAGAAATTTCATGTCCAAAAAAAATAAAACCAAAAGAAAAAAAATCAACAATTACACTACCTTTTGAGGCATTGGAGCCAGAACCTTGGGAATGGAATACACATCCGTATCCGGTGGAGTAACATACATCTAAGAAAAACCATATAAAAAAAAAAAGATAAAGATGAAAACCACATTAAAAGTCCAGAAACAAGAATTAAACACAAAAAGCTAACCAAAAACTCATATTAATGCATTGTGAACAGGGGGTAGAAACAAGAGATCACATTTTTTAGCTTAGCACGTTTTCTAAAGAAACCAGACAGAGGGCATTGATGATCTCAGTTATCCAGAGGAAAGTTGGTAACCGGAATGAGGAATTCAATTGGGCTATAACAAAACTTAGGGACAAAGCCATTATCACTCTTATTACTTTAATTGTATGGAATACTATTGCATATTGGGTTTTCCTGTAATTTGCAGGTTGTAAATACTGTAGAACGACATTCCTGCTTCTTTGGATAATGAAAATTAGCTTAAAAAACAAAATTTAAGTAAAACCCATATCCAAAAAACCAACAAAAGTAACACAAAACGATCAGAAACAACGATGCAAGTGCAGAAAAAAAATTCTACCAATATCCATAACATATATAAAAAAAACCCCCGAAACCAACAGGGAAAAAATTAAAATGAAAGAAAACTCTCTAACCTCCCTGAAATCATAGACATCATTATCCGGGTCGGGTGGCTTCCGAATAAAAAAGTCACAATCCAATAAGCTGATCTTATGAAACTCCTCCTCGTTTATCCTATAATCCACCACCATATCCGAGTCCCATCCTTGAGTCGACACAAAGCTCTTACTCTCAATAATGGCAATGTCCACGTCAACAGTAGTAGCGGAAGCGGTAGCAACAGAGGCGGCCTCTAAAGGGTCGTATTCGACTTCAAAGTCTTTCGTGTTGTCGAGTTCGACTTCTTCTTCGTCCGCGTCGTAGTCGCTGGGTCCTCCCGGATCGGCGTCGCCGTCGCCGTCGTCGACTCGGACGAGGAATGAGGGTTTTAGGGTGGGGGTTAACGGGAAGTGAAGGGGTTTGGGCTTGAGGGAAGGGAAGGGAAGGATGGAGCGGGTGAGGAGGAGGGACGAGGAGTATTTTGGGGTGAAAAATGGTGGGGTGGGGAAGAGAACGGCGGTGGCAGTGGAGGTCATGGTAGCTGGAGAAAGGGGGAGGGAAAGAGCTGACAGTTTGGCTAAGATTTTTGAAATACTTCAAGGAAGCATCTTAAAATCATTTTTTTTTTATGAATTATTTTGAATAAATTATTTTTGTCTTTGAGAAATATATATTTTTAGATAAATTATTCCATGTAAGTTGAAAAGATAAAATTTCTTGATGCAATTTTTTACCGTTCATTCAACCTCATAAAAACCTTTTTTGTAAAGGAGGTTAGTAAAATAAGAAAAAGGATATATATAATTAACTATTAAAATTTAAACTTTAATTAAATGTCATTTTTAAAATAATTAAATAAAGCCAAATATCGAGTTAATGATTTTTTTTTTTTTTTTGCTTTTGGAGGGATATTGTCTAATAATGACGTTATATAAATTAGTAATTTGTCTAGTGTTCCCAGTTAGGATAATTTTTTTTATTTAGATAGCTTTTGTTATTTGAAAATATGAATTTTCTTATTAAAAAATTTGTTTTTTCCATATCCTAATATATATTAATATCACTCTAATTATATGTTGTTAATAATGATAATTCTAAAAATGAAATAAAATAATAAAAATAACATAGATTAAAATTATTATTCATTAATTATCTAATTTATATCATAAATATAATTGCAAATGTAATTGATATCTTTTGTTTTTTAAATTATTTTTTATTTAATTATATAATCTAATGTATTTGAGCATTTCGTGATATAAAAAAATATAATAATGTTCATGTTCTCAAGACATTCATTTGCGAAATTTGATTGGATTATTAATAATAAAATTCATAATTTGTGGCATACTCTATTTATATTCATTTAAACGAGCATACAAATTTTCCTTTCACTTCAAAACTTATATAATTTATATGTAATTATTTTAAGTGAGTAAAATAATTAAAAAATCTTGTCATTATATTACATTTACCCTTATTAAATGCTTTAGCATTGTAAAAATATATAGACAAAATTAAAAATTTATTGAATAAAAATATACATATATCTCAAATATAAAATTATAAAATAAACCCAAAATTAAACAAATAAATTTAATATTAAATTAAATTTTATCAAAATAAGTCTATATATTTATATATAACAAATTCTCACATCAATCCTTAATTTTAAAATTTGATACCTAAATTAAAAATATCACTTTAAACTTCTTTCAAATATACATGTAAATCTACTAAACAAAGTAATTAAATTTCATTTTAATGATAGATGATAGATGAATGTGTAATATAAATATATTATATCTAGAATAAAACATTGTAGGAAAAAATATTTAAAATATAACATGCAACAAATATAAGTTTTAAAATTAAGATAACTTATGTGTAATTGTTCTTTTAAATTAGATAAGTAGTAAGGAGGAAAAGTTTAAAAGTAAATTATGAAATTAAAAAAAAAGTTTTAAAATCATTTTTCACATAATATATATTAATGATTGATATTAATTAATTTTTTATTTACATTTATCATATCAATTACGCAATTTTTTAAAAAATTTGTTTATGGACTATTTTTTCTTAAAAATGGTAAAATTATTTTTTGTCATTTATTTTTTTGTTAAAATTTGCCTAAAAATTCCAATTTTAGAGAATTCACATAACCATTCTCGTTATCCTTCAATTTTTTTATTTTATTTAACAAATGAAAATTTTTATTAATTTAAATTAGCAGCATTTTGATTAACTAAAATAAATAAAAGGAAATAAATAAAAAAGCTCTTTTTGAAATGGGTTTATTAATTTGGTGATTTGGATCAACAACTCAAGTTTGAACCAAACTAAGTTGGCCCAGCAAATCAATATTCCATTCAACCAGGCTAGGGAGTCTAGCCCACGCACCTGGATCATGTGACCTAGAGCCCTGCTCCCCCAAAACTAAATCACAGGCTTGAATAGATCCGGACCGTCATGATCTCATCTGCATGTAACCCCATCCTTTCCCTTTCTCCGTTTTCTCCCTCGAATTTCTCAGGGAAAGAAATCCGCAAGAAAATTAGCCCAAAAAACCATTAAAATTTTTTAACAACCCACAATTGAAAAGAAAAGAAAAGGAAAAAAAAAAAAAAACCCAACCCCTCCCAAAGGGAAACGCTTTTTTTTTTTTTTGTCCCGCGCAGCTCCCTTTCTCATTCTCTTCCTCAATCAAATTCCCCAATCTAGGTCCCAAATTAGAGCCTTCTTTTACTGATTCTTGAATATTCTTTCGTTTTAATTAACCCTAGGGATAACAATTGGGTGACCCGAACCGGAATTCTTGATGGAAGAAAAGAGTGCCGGTGGTGGAGGAGGAGCCGGTAGTGGTGGTGGTGATTCCTCGAGAGTGGTCGTGCCGAAGGTGATGAAGGCTGGTGACCGGCAAGTTTTCACGGTTGAGCTCCGACCAGGAGAGACCACGTATGTTTCCTGGAGGAAGCTTGTCAAAGACGCCAACCGGGCCAATGGATCTTCTTCCGCTGAGGCTGTGGTGGCGGCGCCAGCACCTGAGCCGCCTCCTAATGCTCATCCTAACCTCCAGTCTCGCATCAACCCTGTAAGAGCCGCTTCTTCAATCCCTACGTAATTGCATTTTTTACTCTTGAATTTATTATATATTTTTTAATTTTTTTACGTGCATGCTTACATGAAGTTTAACTTAGTAGTTTTGTCGCGTTTAATTTAAGAAATTGTGCTTTGAATATTTTGGTATATTTGAATGTGTTTGTATTGTTTGGCTACCAAGAAAATGTGGGAGAGTGAAAGAAAATCTAGTAATTGCTTTTTTCCTTTTGGACCATCCTTAATCATGCTTGACATTATCTAGGGACAAGCGGCTGAAAAAGAAGCGAAAGATGAACCACCTCCAAATCGATTCAGTGCTGTTATTGAGAAGATTGAGCGTCTTTACATGGTATTTGTATGTTTTGTTATGCTTGAGAGTATTTTGAGAAGCACTTTGATTAATTTATGTTAATATGAGGTGAAATTCTTTCTCAGGGTAAAGATAGCAGTGACGAGGAAGAACTGGATGAAACTCCGGATGATGATCAGTATGATACAGAAGATTCTTTTATTGATGATGCCGAGCTGGTGGGTACTAAAATCTATTACTTCTAGTTTTAGCCTGTCTATGTTGGTTTTATGCAACATCAGTCGTGCTGTTCTTCTTGAAACAAGGACCATGTAATGTATTTTTATTGCTTTATAATGTTGCTTCATTGCTTGTTATGCAGGATGAGTATTTTGAAGTTGATAATTCAGCCATAAAACATGATGGGTTCTTTGTTAATAAGGGAAAGTTGGAAAGAATGTGAGTTTATATGGACTGGTTTCATTTTGCTTCTTCTCCATTGGTTGGTGACAAAGCTTTACTAATGATCCTGTTTAGATGGCAATTCATATGTATGCTATGACATACCAGAAGAAACCATACATCTCTTATCAGTTAAAGCTAAGTTAATTTATGAATTATTTCTCTTAAATGGGCACAAATTTGGCTCCAAGACCAAAATAAAATGGTACCTACAATTAGGCTTGCAACTTTAATTGAAACAGTAAGTTAAACTTATGTCAACAATACTGAAGTGGTTGTCAAGGACCCCTTGCTCTTATTGTCTAAAGTAATCTTATATCAATATTTATTTTATGTTTCTTTTGTCACAGCAATGTGGGTAAAGCTAGTACACATGATTTATCTTTAATTTACCTTATCAAACTATATGCTTTTTCATGCTGAAAGTTCATTAGTAGTTGATTTCTTCCAATTTCGCTTCCCTGATTTCTTTTATTTCTTTTCCTTCTTTTTTCAAGAAATGAACCTCCTGTGATACCTAACCAGCAGGCCAAGAAAAGGCGAAGAAAAGACGCTGCAAAACCTCCTGGTGAGAGTGACGAAGGTTGTGTGCCAAATAAACATGTAAAGGCAGCAAAGATGACTGCAGGGAGGGCTGAACCATCTCTTGTGAAGGATATTTCTAATTCTTCTCAGAATTTGACTCCATTAAATGAACAATATAGGGATTTAAAGGCTCAGAATCAATTATCATTTTCTGGTGTTTCTTCCAAGAAGAAATCTTCTGAGACAACGCTAGCATTGGATTCTTCATATTTGAAAATTCCAAATGGTGATACTTCTGTACCTTTGGCAGATTTCAAGGACATTGAAAAGTCGAAAGTGGGATTTCTGCTGTCAAAAAATGTTGTCAGTAGCAAATTGAAAGATGCAATTGGATCCTCTGATATTTTGTATCAGAAATACCATGATAAAAATGCTTACTTACAATCCAAATCCCAACATGGAAAACTAATTGGCAATATTGACGAGCTTGAACAATCAGTTCGACCGAAAGAAAAAAATGGCATCCGTGAACTGCCAGACATTAATGTTTCTGATAGCAAACATGCTATGCTTTCAACAGTAAGTTATGTTTTTAATCTTCAACATTTTTTTTTCATAATTTGTTCCATTTCTCAATTTTATATTGGCTGGTTAATAACTTGTTTGTCATAATTAGTAGCTGCATAACCTAGTTTGAGTGTTGACATGAACACAGGTTTCTGTTAATGACAACCTACAATATCTGAAAACAATAGGAGTTTGATGGCTGTGTCTGTATGTATTACAATAATAAAAGCTTTGAACATGGATTTACATGCCATCCACTTCGTCTGAAAGATTGGTGCTTCGCATTAGTGATAAAGATAGGGAAAATTGAAACAGTTCTGGGTTAATTTGTTATATTGGTCCGTCAAATTTCACCTGAACAGTACGTGGACTACTGAAAACACCCTGGAAAGTTCAAGGGCCCCATAGACCTCTCTTTGTGAGTGTGTGTGCATGTAGGGCAAAATATTGGAGTAGAGGTTCCTGCTATGTTCCAAATTATTGTTCATCAGAGAGAAGTGAGCTACTACTATTGCATTAGATATTAATGCTATCATATTGGTTTTGATTATGTGTAATCTATCATGCAGAAATCTTCACACATGCAGAAAAAGGATGGTTCTACTCTTAGGCCCAAAAGTTCTGTACTTGAAAAGGCCATTAGGGAGCTAGAGAAGATGGTTGCAGAATGTAAGTGTATATGTGTTTCTTCTACAATTTAATTATGAATGGTTCCTTTTAAAGTAAAATTCGTTTTCTTTCCTGTCTGAAATATCACAGCAAGGCCGCCTGCTATGGAAAATCAAGAGGCTGATACTTCATCCCAAGGGATTAAGAGGAGATTGCCTAGAGAAATAAAGCTCAAGCTTGCTAAAGTTGCTAGATTAGCGGTATGGACTGTCATTAACTTTATGTCCTGTAAAATAACTCACTTTCTGATTGTCATTTTTTTAAAATAGCATCTTTCCTTTAGACAAAGGTTAAGTTTTTCCATTTTCTTTTGATATTTGTAGCAGGCAAGCCAGGGGAAAGTTTCTAAGGAGTTACTAAATCGCCTGATGAGCATCCTTGGTCATTTAATACAGCTAAGAACACTTAAGGTATCTTTCCTTTTTTATGAATGAGTATGACACTCATGAAATTTTCAATGGCAATTCCAACTTTTTGCCCTTACTAGATCAAGATTGAAAGGGGCTTGGAATATTATCATGTTATGATTGCATGCCAACATACCGATAACTCCCAAGTCTAGAAATACTTTCTGTTAAATATACCTTTTCTACTGACTTGGCTTTTGCTTTTAATTCACGTGCTGTAGTTTCTTTTGTTTTAATGAAGAAAAGTTGGTACACCATACATTTGACTACTCGTGATCATTATAACTGCAATTATGGTGGGTTTGTAATGTAATTAGTGCATATGTTTTGGGTTTTGAATCATGCAATCAAATTTGTGTGATCTTGAAGCATTTTTTGCTTGTGGTTATAATCCAAGTTCATTGGGGGAGCCTATTGTAGAACTATACCACTTGACCAAGTTTTCTGACTTTTAGAAGAGATTCTCGAGGTAATCATCTTTATGCTTTGAAACGCAGAACTGGTAAAAGAATTAATGGAACAGTGCAAAACTATGTAAACTTTTGTGCATTAATCCTTTTTTTCCCCCTAATAATAGACTAAATCCTCTTGTTTTCTCTCAATGATCCTTTCCAATAAAGTTGTTCTACCAATTTGGATCCTCTTTGTAAATTACGTATCTTCAAATATTGAGGCAGAATTTTGGTTGCAGAGGAACCTCAAAGTCATGATTAGTATGGGTGTGTCAGCAAAGCAAGAAAAAGATGATAGATTTCAGCAGATAAAGAAGGAAGTCATTGAGATGATAAAGACAAGAATTCCTTCTTTTGAGACAAAGGTTTGTTTTATTCTCTTTCTTTCTCTCTCTGTTCCTCCCCCTCACTATTCTGATTTTTATTTCATTTTAGTTTCTGTTTCCTTTCTTAGTTTATCCTGATTCAACTGTCTTTATCTTTTTTTTTCTTTACTCTATAATGAAAAATAGTGTTTATTCTGCTTTGCTTGTAACCAAGAGCAAAAAATTTTCTGTTCTACACTATTCCACATAGTGCCTGCACTTCTGTTAAAATATGCCTTTTCTCATCTTCTCGCCCTATGCTATTGTTCTTCTTTTTTTATCCTTCCTTATTTTCATGTGGATTGTTTAGTTTAAATACTTCTTCATTGTAGATTCCATTACTATTTTTCTCCTTATTTTCTCTTTTCTTTTCTCCATCCTGGTATATAAGATGATGGGCTTTCATCTTGTTCATAGATAGTACTCTATATTATCAACTAAAGTGAGAAAATTGTGCTGCTCTTAATGAAAAATGGATAATTGTTTTTCAGATGGTGGAGCCATATTCCAGAGCTTCTGATGATTTTCAAGAAATTGGTTCTGAAGAAAGAGTTTTTAGAAGGAAATTTAGCATGGACACACCATTGGAGAACAAGATTTGTGATCTTTACGACCTCTATGTTGAGGTAATCATAGGCCCTAGTGTGACCTTAACAAAATTTCATCTCTGTTGGGGAACTCTTCTTTGCAGTGAATCTTATCTTTGCTTTTTTTTGTTTAATGATTGTAGGGATTGGATGAAGATGCAGGTCCACAAATTAGAAAGCTTTATGTAGAGGTTGGGCACTTATCATTTCTTTCTCTACTCCCACGGTTGCTGTATTCATACTGAAAATCTTTATATTGGTGGCATTAGGTGCCCATGGAGGTGGCTAAGTATGTCTCTGCAGTTATTGTTTCCTGATGGTTTTTGATAGTATCACTCTCTTGCCATTTGGATGAGAAGGGTGCATGACACATCTGTTTCTATTCTACGCACCTTCTCTCTTCTGTCTTTCCCTATTTCTCTTTTATTGTTTGTATCCTTCCCTTGTACAATTGCACTCTCTGCCCCTTCAACTGCATCTTCTCTTTTTATAACTCAAAACAAGCCTTAAATTGCTTGTTATTCAACAGAATTCCATAGAATTCGCCCTACATTTCATTATTGTTCTTTTTCAAATAATTTGCATCAATCTGGTGATGTCCTTCTTGAGGTCATTTCCTGCTGTTACCTTAAACAGATCTTTTGTTCTTTGTTTTGATTGTGTTCCTTTTGCATGAATTTATTGGTGATAAAACTATTGATTATTGTTCTTAACACTCTATTATACTCCTTTTTTATTTTTTCTCTGTTACATTATCATCTCACATTTGGAGTCCATCTATGAACAGCTTGCGCAGCTGTGGCCAAATGGTATGATGGACAACCATGAGATTAAACGTGCAATTTGTAGGGCAAAGGAAAGACGGAGAGCAAGGTACAATAGACGTAAGGTATATAAAATCACTTCTCTGCTTTTTACACTTGTGTTGGTGTGTTTATGTTTTCAAATTAATTGGTAGGTCTTCTGCTGATTGGATGTAATCTATCTTGACAATTTTATGTACTTACGAGATTTGAAGCTTCCTAAGGCTTGGCAACCAAAAACCATTTTTATCCAAATATGTACAGCAACCTAGTGCATGCTTGTGATTATTCTTAGGGTTTCAGATGAACCAGTATTGGGTGGATGCTGGGCGTTTTTCTTGCCCATGATCTCTATTTTTGGTGATATATTCTTTAATGGGTCTCGACCCAGAGTTATGGGATATAAGGCCTAATTTGTTGTTGTTGTATATTCTTTAATGGGTCTCCTGTTGTAATGAGCAGTCAGTGAGATGAGATGACAGACGTGCCCTCTTGTGTGGACAAAAGATGTTTGTTCTTTTCTTCGATTTTTCTCAGGTTGATATCTGTTGGCTTATTGTTTTCAATTTTCTTTTGTAAAAGGATCAAGAGAAACTGAAGAGGGAAAAGTTGTTGGCACCAAGATTGGAGGAGAGTGTTCGAGTAGAGTCAGCTTCAAGTGCTCAGCCCCAGCACGCGCGAGAGAGGTCGACTACTGATTCTGGTAGTCATGTTTTACCTTCAACTAATAAGTCAATTTCAAGCACAACAGCAGCTGCTGTCCGGATTCCTAGTCCCTCAACAAACGGTTCCAGTCTTGACAGACTAAAACAAGAGAAGTTAATGGGCATTTCAAGCAATGCCATGGATGAAATAAAGGTGGCAGATGGCTCACTGCCCAAGAAAAAGGTAAAAAGGAAGCCTGAAATGGAGTTGGGTGAATCTCATTTCCTCCCAGAGAAGTTACCTCAGCAACAGGGTGACGACAGGCACAAGTCCATGAAGCAGCCTGTGAATCTACCTCCGAAATCAACCTTTCCGCCAGCTGCTACTAGTTTCGAACAGTCAAGCTAACATCAAGTCGTTCATTTAGGGGTTCACGCCATAAAAAAGGCGTGATTAGGTGCCTTTATTTATTTATTCCTTCTTTTGTTCTTTCCTTCTCTACTCATTCTCACCTTTTAATTTTGTTTCTTTTCTTTATGATGAGCTTCATTCGCTCTGACCTACTGATATATCACGTTATCTGCCAGTACCATTTTTGTAATTAAATGTTCTTTCTCTTGCAGTCATGAGTTCTATGTTAGGAAATTAGCTCCTACATCTCATTCATGAAGCAGGAGATCTTTTTTTCTTTTCTTTTTAGACCCTCCAAAAGGTTAGGAGAAAATTATTTTTTTAATACAATTAAGAGTGTTTATATGTTTTGTTTAGCTTTTTTTTTGGATGATATTTTTCTCATGATCGTGTTCCTTTTCACGTCAGTTTTTTTTTTTTTTTTTCACGAGAAAATCACCCCACGGAGAAATAGCTAGGAAAGAATCTACAAAAAAAATTTCGGAAAACATTAAAGGGCGGCCTTGTGTCCGAACCATGGAGTGGCCCAGGAACCGTCCCATTAAACAAAAAGAGCAAGGTCCACATCAACAGACCATCTCGGCCCAGACCCTTCCCGCGTTTTTCCATTTTCCCTTCTTCATTCCTTTCCCAAAAATCTACCCCAAATTGAAGCAGGCCACTCTCTAACTCTCCAAAACCTAACTCTCCTCAACCTTCTCTTTAATAAACCAAATTTTAAAGAAAAAGAGAGAGAGAGAGAGGGAGAGAGAGAGAGAAAGACGATGATGAAGACGAAGGCGTTCAAGGGATCGAACGTGTTCATGTCACGAAACCTCGTCCCTCCCGAAGTCTTCGACAAGCTTCACGGCGTTCTCAAGGATAATGGAGCCCAAGTCTTCCTCTGTTGTGACCCTTCTCGAAACGGCCCCGATGACTTCCATGTTATATCTTCCATCGATCACGTAATCTCCTATTTTCCCGCCATTTTCATTTCACAAATATTTGAAATAATTTTAAGACAAGTTTTTATTTTATTTATTTAACTAATAATTTTTTTTTTTTGCAGGATAAATTTGAGGATCTTAGAGCTAAAGGCTGTAATTTGCTAGGTATTATTTTGATTTGTCTCGTATTTTTAAACTTACAGTGCTGGTAATTTATTGGTGAAAATTTTTTGTGATTTGGGCTTCAGGTCCTCAATGTGTGCTTTCATGTGCAAAAGAAAATAGAGCTTTACCTAAACAAGGGTTTACTTGCTGCCTTGCAATGGACAGCCTCAAAGTATTGGCATCTGGTTTCGACATAGATGAAAAGGTATTGCAATTGGGGTTCGTGTAAACACGTTAATTCTAATCTACTTGAATTTCATACTTACGACCCTAGTATTGATAGTTTTTTATGATGGTTGTTGGTCACAGGTTAAGATTGAAAAATTAGTTACAGCTATGGGGGGAGTGTTGCATACTAAAGCATCTTTAGAAGTGAGCTTTGTTGTTGTAAAGAATGTTCTGGCTGCAAAGTATAAGGTTTGATTCTTGTAAAATTATTTTCTCTCGTTTTCGTGCCAGCATGTGTCATGTTTAAGTGTACAAACATGGTTTTGTTAATGTCTTTAAGAACTCATTGTTTGGGCTTTGATATTCTTAAATGCTAGTATACTTTTGTGAACATAGAGTGCATCATGGTAAAATCAGTTAAAATAATATTTTTCAAGATCTTTTCCAACTTGAGTTAGGTGAGAACTATATGAAATAGGTATATGATCCCCTTCCTCTCACATATTTGCAGACCCTGCATGCATGTGGGGGGAAAAGCTTGAAAGCATGCCTGAAAGTGCTAATAGAAATATCTGTTCTTATAGGGAATATTTTAGTAATACCTTTTGAATTTTGTGCACATTCTGCTTTGAATTTGAGTTTCAATAACTCCTGTTTATTAGACTGTGAACTCGAGAGTGATTATCTTTGGAGTTTCTTGGAGAAGCTATTATCAAAAGTAGCTAACATTCATACATTGCTTTATTAGATGCTATCACTGATTATTGTCATTATTTTCTATTTATGCAGTGGGCTTTAAATGTTTTAAAGAAACCAATTGTTACTATTCATTGGTTATATCAGTGCTGGAGTGAGCACCGTATTGTCCCTCAGGAGTCATACAGGGTTCTTCCTTTTTCTGGATTGACAATATGTGTTACCAGAATTCCTGCAGGTTATTATGTCAAACTATGTATTGGCCCTCCTTGTGACAAACTATTTAATTATTGAATTCTAATATTCTCTTCCTCTCAGATGAGCGAAAGGAGATCGAAAAGCTTATCATACAAAATGGTGGAAAATATTCAGCTGAACTCACCAAGAAGTGCACGCATTTGATTTGCGATATATCCTTTACATTGTTCCTTAAGATGAAAGAGCTGATGTTATTAGTTGCTAGTTGCTTATTCTTAGTCTCCACTCTCATAACACAAACAACATACCTTAAGTTACATCTATTTATGCAAATTTCATAAAGCTGTCTATTCATTTTTGTTAAAGGAATGTTATTCAGTTTTTGAGCCTAGTTTTGTCTCTTCTATTTGATGTTTATGCATTGCACCTCAATCATCATTTTTACTTCCATCATGTACTCTTCTCAGAATAATCATCCATGGCGATTTCTGTTGGGGGAAAATGACTCTTAGCATTCTGATTGTCATTCATTTGTGATCTTAACTCTCTGTAAGCTCCTGAAGGTGACAAGTATAAAGTTGCCCGAAGATGGGGCCTCGTTCATATTGTAGTTCGGAAATGGTTTGATCAATCCATTGCTAGAAGAGGTAATGCTTTATGTTATTAATAATGTCAAGTTCTAGCACTCTTGAGTTTATGACATCTTGACATATTTGTACAACCATGTATTATCACTGATTTTAGACATTGTATCTGACCATGAATAATCCTGTTTGTCCTTGGTGGATAGCATGTCTTAATGAGGAGTCCTATCCTGTCCAGGGTGGTTGTGCATCTTTAAAGAAAAATGTGAGTGTTTCCTTGTCAGCACAGCATAGTCAAGACAAGTTTAGGGGAAGTTCAGTGTCTGCAACCTCCTCAGTGGTTCCTGAATTTAATTTGTCCACCACGCCTTCTACTGGATTAGGAGACCCAGATCTTGAAGCTACTCTCTCACAGAACATGTCTTCTGCGGTATCAGATGCTCAGGTCATTTTTAAAGAGGATGGTGGTGAAGCACCAATTTTGCAGCCCTCTAATGACACAAAACTTGATGGTTGTGTTGCCAATGATTCTCAATCAGAAGACAATGATCTATACTTGTCAGACTGTAGAATTTCTCTTGTTGGCTTTGAAGCTTCTGAAATGCGTAAACTGGTTACCATGGTGCGTAGAGGTGGTGCATCCCGGTATATGTCATGTAATGATAAATTGACACACATAATTGTTGGGACTCCATCTGAAGTGTAAGTATTTCTTCTTTTTTTACAAGCTAAGTTGTGAATTTATTTCTTTGTTTCTTCTTTTCTTTTGCCATATAATTTCCTCCTTTGGGTTCTTTTTATATCATGCTTTGCAAGCCATGCTTTAAATCATGTGGGCTAAGTGTGATTTTGTTACATTTGGCTATTTAGTGAGCATGCTAAATTTTTTTGGAATATCATCCTGTATTTTCATAAAGCTTTCTCTTTCACATGCTTGTCTTATTGCCTAGGGAAAAGAAAGAGATAAGAGGCCTTGCAGCTTCAGGTGTTATCCATGTGGTAAAGCCCAACTGGCTTGAAGACTGTGATCGTCAAAAGAAAGAAATCCCTGTTCACCAGAGTCATGTTGCATATGAGTTACTTCTTCCTAAAGGTTGCCAAATATTCTCTGGCAATCACTTGATCTTGAATTCATCTTCATGCAGGATGTATATTGTTTTTTTTTTTTTTTTGACATTTTCATACCATAAAAAGATAAATTTTGTTCTGGCTTGTTGAATTAACAGATATCATCAGTAAGCTCTTTATTGTTTCTGTTATGCGTTATTTTTCATGTTGTTTAACTGATCATCATGCTTGCACAGATTCTGTACTCCCTGTTAGAGGAGCAGTGACAGGAATGATTAGTTTGAATCAAAGCAAATCCTTAGTTCTTACAAACTCCAGAACTGAAATGCCACCATCATTGGGGAAAAGTCTAGATGATAAGCCCAAAATCAACATGAAGGGGTCCAACTCTTTGGAAGCTACTGTGGGATCATCCAAGCGGGGCCTACTTCCTATTGTAAATAGTACAAATAATGGTGCGCAGAAGCAGCAATGTGACTCCATAGTCCAAAATCTCAAGAATGGGATGCCATCAACTGTATTTAAGGGGAAAACATTTTGTTTTTCAATTTCCTTTCCTGAAGATAGGGTAAGGATCTTGCCTCAAAAATTGTTTCTTAGCATGACTTTTTCTTTGTGAATTTCTGAGATGATTCAAGTTTTTTGAAAATGTCGACGTCTTTCCTGAAGATACATAGTCTAGAAGACTTTGGAAAAAACTTACAAATATGCACAAAAAGGTTGCCAAAAGAATTTATGCATCAGAAAATAACCACCTGAAACCATTCGCCTTTACAAAGAAGAGGATTTGATTTTATGTGTTGACTTTGGCAGTAAGCTGGTCAAGTTGATTATGTTGGCCAGTGAATTAGACTTGAATTAGGCTTCAAACTTTATGCTTGGTTTGCTATTACTTTCTTGTGCTGGTTTGCACTTAGGAGATTTAGGCATGTTATGTGAGTCAAGCCTTCTATTGCAAGCTAAAATGTGTATTTTGTGCTTTTCTGTATATAAATTCTTGTTGAGATACTGTAGAACTGGTTTTGCCTGTGGATGGGTATATTTGCTGAGATTTTCTTTGGCTAAGCAATTGAATCACCCAAATGAAGAAGGGAATTGCCTTGTTTTCCCTCAAACCAAAATTTAGACTGGCGAGGGGCTGTGGAGGAACAAAGGACACTTTACTCTTGCAGTTGGTCAATGTGGGATGCCCCATTTAGTAACTAGAAAAATTCTGAAGCTCCTCATTTAAAGTAAGAGGCACCTGCCCATATTAATGGATTAATAACCATTTAAAGCTTCAATGTTTTTGTTGTCTAACATCTCAAGTATTTAACTGCCTTCTTTTAGCTGTTCTAGCATGCTGTATTCATTTTTCTCTGGTATATCTTGTTACTTTGGATCTATGTATTGCTATCTCTTTCTCAGTTTCCAAAGGTGGCTGTTTCTAGTTCTTTTTTTTCAATACACTAAGTTTTGGATTTCTTCTGCCAGAGAGCTGAAATTGTTGAATGGGTGGATCAAGGTGGAGGACAGTTTGTTGCGGATCAAGTAAAAGGGAATGTGAATTTCATTATTGAGTGTCATGGTGTGATACGCAGATCTATGATTGATTCCCAAATTACTTATGTGTCTACTCACTGGGTCCGATCTTGTTTAGAGGTATGGTTGAAACTTCATGTTTGGTCATGATATGCCTTTTTCCCATTACACAAGGTGCAATATTCTATACTTGTCTACTACTGTTGCACCTGCTGCTCTGCTGTTTCCTTTGGTTTCTTCTTGACTTTAAACCATCACGCCTAATTATTATTAATATTTTTTTTGAGTTAATTATACTCTTGGTACTTGAATTTAGCAAAATGTACAAATTGGAACCTAAAGAAATAAAATGTACAACTTGCACCTTGAACTTTTAAATTATATATCATGTTAACCCAAACTTTAATCCCACTAATCATATCAGCTTTTATGTGTGACATTTGACAAATATTATCAAGTATGTGTTCACTACATATACTATCAACATCTTTTTTCAATATACAAACAACAACAATACACTAAACTTTTTATCCCATACTCTGGGGTTGGCTGTATGAAAAACCAAATAAGAGAATCAAGTTAGGTTGTATTTTGAATCTTCTTGTGCCACTCATTTCTATCAACAACCACCTGTTCACCTTTTTTCAATTTAAATTAAAAAAATATATTTTTTGCTTGAATTGTAAAATTATCTAAGATCGGTTGATTATTATTTGTCAAATGACATCCACATGAATTTTTACAAAATTTTTAACGCCTTTTTTAACAAATAATATGCATATAATAAAATTATATTAGTTAGATATCATATAAGCGAGTTAAGTTAATAGTATCAAAATTTGGATTAAAATGATACATTATTTGAAAATCTAGGGTGCCAGTTGTTCATTTTATTTCTTTAGGTACCAATTTGTACATTTTTCAAAGTTCAGGTACCAAAGTTGTAATTATATCTTTTTTTATTATTATTATTTGGTTGTATTATATATCTTTTTTGTTATCTTGTCAATGCTGATGGAAAACTGGTATTTTAGGCTGGGTGCTTGCTTGATGTTGGTAGTCATATTCTCTACTCACCCCTTCCCTGTCAAATTCCTTTTCCTGGGTTTAAAGGCTTTCGCTTTTGTGTTTCACAATATGAAGAGAAGGATAGACTGCTATTAAGAAATCTGTGCTTTATTCTTGGAGCTAAGTTTGTGGAAAAACTTACAAAAAAGGTGACCCATTTATTGTGCAAGTTTACTAGTGGACCAAAATATGAGGCTGCTTTTAAATGGGGAATACATTCAGTTACATCAGAATGGATATATGAATGTGTGAGGCAGGTATGGTTCTGATTCTCTCCCTCTCTCTCTGTGTCTCTATGTGCAATTTTGCTGTTGTGAGCGTGTCTGCCCCGAGTTTATGTTTGTTTATCTGTTTCATTGGAAATGAAAGACAAACAAATTTTCATGTGTGCAATTTATATCGTCTAGAATAAAGTTGTTTCTCTGGATCCATTTTGCCCAAAAGAAGTTACGGCCCAAGACCAAGAGGCAGGATTATGCACTGTGAGCCAATTTCCGACTCAAGCTGTTCAAATGATGTCTGTAGACATTCCATCTCAGTTTATGAGTCAATCACAGGAACTGAGAACACAAGCTCTTGGTGTTAAAAATGGAACCATTATTGGTGATAGAAATGATGGCTATAGAGATGGGGCCAAACAATCAATTGTTCATCTTAAAAAGGCAAGGCACTTGGAAGATGATGGCCAAAATGGTCCGCTTGCTTCTGGAGTGCATTTATGCGAGCCTGTTTTGAATGAGAATTCTACTGAAAACAACAAATCAAAAATTGCGGGGGAGGCTGCCCAAGTTTTGCCCGATGTAGCTGCTGCTATAGAAGACTTACTGGAGCAAACTAGTAAGGTAAATATTGATGTTTCTCTGTCTGTACCACCTAATTGTTTTATTGCATTCAGATTGCTTGTTGGTTAACTCATTTCGCTGTTTCATTTTTAAGATTCATGATCAGAAGTCACCAGAGAGGGATGCTTGTGATAAAAGTGTATCCTTATATTTGTTGATTTTTCCAATATTAAAAATGTCTACTTTTCATTTCTTATGTACGTTTGTGCATTGGTATCAATCCTTGACGATAGAACAGATTTTTTCATCTGATTGTACGGGCCTCCATCAAGACCATACAGATTCTCATTCTGTTATTGGGTTATCTAGACACTGGTTAAGCAGGTAACCTCTTTATACTATACAAAAGAAGTGTTCTCCCCTTTAGCCTTGTTAATCTAATGGCTGAACTATTCCCCTTGCATGTGCCTGCTAAAGCCTAATAAAGAAAGAACCTACTGAATTTTGGGACAATAGCAAGGCCAATGGGGAATTTTTTATCATTATAGGGGGAAATATTGTTTCATTTCTCATCTCCGATTAACGTTATGCTTTTTTCAGGACTGTGAGAAAAGATGAAATTAGCAGTTATTCTGGAGATGTGAATGTGGGCGGCCTATATGATGGTTTCAGTGAAACACAAACAGAGTCTCAGGTTTCAGATCTTGTCATAAAAGTTTCTTTTTCCCTCTCTCAGCAGTTTTCTAAAAGGACCTGTGTTATTGACTTTGAGAAGATAAAAATAAGTAATCCCAACATTTCATCCATCAAGTTTTTGATTGTAATGTTAGTGCTTAACATTGGAAAATGCAGGTTGTGGGTTATGAAGAAGATTTATCGGGCAGACAAATGCTTATAGACCGAGTTCGAACCCGAAGTAGCATGGCCTGAAGTACTGGAAGTCCACCCTTGCTAAGCAAGTAAACTTGACACTGGCAACCAAATGAAGTTTGATGGTTAACTCAGGTTCGCTCTCAGGCTTAATGCATCAATCAAGTTTTTAGCCTTGCTTATGTACATGCTCTAAAAGGGAGATAATGCAAAGGTAGTTGTAAAACTTGTACATGCTTGTATTTTGAGCCTGTAAATCATTTATTGATCTAGGGAAGCTATTCTAATTGGTTATTCATGCGAATTATTTTGAACTATGTTACTTTTACTTTATGATTTGATGCTGAGAGTTTTGATGGGAACTGGAAAACGACGTAAAATTCTTAGTTTCTTTGGATGTGACATCCATTTGTCCGCTGTGAATGTATTTGGAGATAGGCAATTTAAAAGAAGATAATTATGATATGAGACGAAAATAATATAATAAAAATGAAAGTAATATTATTTAAAATTTTAATAGAAAATTATAAAAATTTAGTAAAAATAAAAAATATATATTTTATATTTGATATGTTGATATAAATCATAATAGAATAAATATTTTATATTTATTTAATATAAAATAATAAAATATAAATATACGAATTATCATATTTAAATTAAAATATAAAAAAAGCTCAAAAAAGAGAATTTATTGAAGTTCCTTTCTTTATTTTAATAAATGTTTCTTTATTTTTTGGTCTATTAGATCTTTTTAATCTTCTTGTTGTATTTATATATTCAATTTATATACACCAAATCAAATGTAATAAAATGTTTTTTTTTTCTCATTATTTATAACTTATTTTAACAATTGTTATTTTTTTATTTTTTGTAATTTTTGTTAAAAATAACATTTATGTTTTGGTAGAAGCAATCAAATCTCTAATCATATTCGGAGATTTACAATTTTTATTTCTAAAAAAATGGCTATAGAATTTGATTGGGGGAAAAGAAAATTCATAATTTTCTATTGGTCATAGAAAACCAAGAAAATAAAAATTGCAGGCTAGCCCCTACAAAACCTAAATACATCAATTCAAAAGGAAATAGACAAATTTCCAAATCACAGAAAAAAAAAATAAAACAAGAAAGCACCAGAACCACAACAAGGGCCAATAGTAGCAATCCAAAAATCCAAAATCTCGACGTTTTGCTTTTCGGTATTATCCACAACTATTTAATTTTTTTCTCATCATGATCATCTACACACACAAATACTAATAAATAGTTCCCAACTTAAAAAAAAAAAAAAAAAAAACACACCCAGAAACAAATATTAGAACTTTCCCGTATGGTGGAATGTTTCTACGTGTGCCACGTGCCTATCGTCGACATGAAGAGGTTATCTCCGGTGGCCGGACTGTCATCACCCCTCAAGTTCGATAGAGAGAGCAAGGTGTTCGGGTTTGGGATTGGGTTCGGGTTGAAACGGAAAGTGGTGCTAAGGAAGAGGCTGAAGCTTGTAGTGAACGCTGAGTTATCCGAGTCTTTCTCTGTCAATCTGGGTTTGGACTCTCAGGTTTATTTTCTTTCAGTTCATTCTTTCCTCTCACTTGGGCTTTTTTCCTTAGTTTTATGTCAGTTTCAAGTTTACCATGTTATTTAAACAAATATTGTTCGATGAAATGACCGGCAGAGTCTTGGGCTGATGTTATCTAATTTGTTATTACTCTAATATTATTTTTGGTGAAATGATTCTGGTTTGATCAACAATGTATTTTTAGACATTGCAATTGGTCCGTGATTTTGTTTTAAAGCATCTTAAGCACAATAATGATCTATGACTTCAATACGTGGCTGTTTATAATATATTGGTTTTCATATGTTCTGAATGATTTTGATGAGGTTTTAGTTTGTTGTATTGATCATTGTTTGTTCTATTTCTCAAAATTTTTTGGTAGTTGATGTTATTTGATTTCATCCTAACTAAGAGTTCAGCACTCTATCAACATACCATGTGACTGTTGGCTGTGAAATTTCTCAAATTTAAATTTTGTATTATGGTTCCTATCTCATTTAAGTAAAAAAAGCCTGGCAATTTGTGTTGCCGCGTGATTCTTTAGTTTAACTGAAGTAGCTGGTTTTGTTCTCTCTTTGTTCATTGTGTCTGTTAAAATACACAATATCAATACTGTTTCTGAATGCTCCATTAGGGTTTATTTAGTATATGAATGAAGAGCAGCAAGTAGTTTTAAAGAAAGAGATTGTCTCTTGATTCTCTCAAGCATTTTGTTGAACTCATGCTGAATTGGATACAGTGATTATTGCTATTCCTTTGTGACAACGAATCATGTACTCCAGTGAATTAACTACATTCTCATTATGCATATCTGTGGAGTACAGTGAAACAGCAATAATGATTGCTCAAGATTATCCTTCTGAAAGCGTCTCCTTTGTTTATACCATGTCTTTTTCTTATGATGCTAATGATGGTAACTAGTAGCAAGTACATCTGAGTTATCTTGCTACATTTTTCTTCTTCCCTGGTGCAGCAGACTACACTTTTTTTTGGCTTTTCTCCTTTAATGCGTACTTTTTATAGAGGTGATATTGAATTCTGTTTTTTCTTGCATTATTTGACATTGCTTTATTTGGAGTAGAAGACCATCCAGTCAAATGATGCATCACAGTTATGGTGGATTGGTCCAGTTCCTGGGGATATTGCTGAAGTTGAGGCTTATTGTAGAATTTTTAGAGCAGCTGAAAGGCTCCATGCTGCTTTGATGGACACTTTATGCAATCCATTGACAGGCGAATGTAGTGTTTCATATGATTTTACACCAGAGGAAAAACCATTAGTAGAGGATAAGATTGTGTCTGTGCTTGGTTGGATGCTATCTCTTTTGAATAAAGGAAGAGAAGATGTTCTTTCTGGAAGAGTCTCAATTATGAATACTTTTCGTGTGCCAGATATAAGTGTGATGGAGGATAACCTTCCACCACTTGCTCTTTTCAGGAGTGAGATGAAGAGGTGCTGTGAGAGCTTACATGTTGCTCTCGAGAACTATTTGACACCTGACGATTGTCGAAGCCTTCATGTCTGGAGGAAGTTGCAAAGGTTGAAGAATGCTTGTTATGATTTGGGTTTTCCACGCAAGGACGACCACCCGTGCCATACATTGTTTGCAAACTGGCAACCTGTTTGTTTGTCCTCCTCTAAAGAAGAGATAGAGTCAAAAGATTGTGAGATAGCATTTTGGAGGGGTGGTCAAGTAACAGACGAAGGTTTGAAGTGGTTGATTGACAGAGGATTCAAAACTATTGTTGATCTAAGAGCTGAGACTGTTAGGGATAACTTTTATCAAGCAGCCATGGATGATGCTATTTTTTGTGGGAAAGTTGAATTTGTAAAAATTCCAGTTGAGGTTAGAACTGCACCTTCAATGGAGCAGGTTGAGAAGTTTGCATCTTTGGTTTCAGATTGCAACAAAAAGCCCATTTATCTACATGGTAAGGAAGGAGTACGGAGAACTTCCGCAATGGTCTCTAGATGGCAGCAGTACATGACTCGCTTTTCATCTCAGTTTGTCTCAAATCAGTCAGTGAGTCCCAGTGATAAATTGTCACAAGATGCAGATGGACCAGGAGAGCTTCTGGCATCTTCCAGTACAGAAGAAAAGCTCAAGTTACAAGAGACAAATGAGTTATTGCAAGAGAGTTTGAATGTGATTCACAGTTTGAATGGAGCGTATCATGAAGAAGTCTTCTCAGACAGTGATAAAGATCACAGAATTTTTGGGGCCAAAAATGACCTTATTTCTAGCCAAGTTACAACTTCTGGGGATGCAGTTGATAATGTGGAAGGAGCTATGACTAACATCTATGAGAACACTGATCCTCTAAAGGCTCAGATTCCTCCTTGCAATGTTTTCTCCAGAAAAGAAATGTCCAGGTTTTTGAGGAGTAAAAAGATCTCTCCTCCAATGTATTTCAGTCATCAGCTCAAAAGATTGGAAACCCTGCCTGTTTCAAGACGGACTTCTATTAGAGCAACATGGGAAAGTGAGGTGTTTCATGCTAATACTAAATCACAGCTTGCGGAGACAGGAAGTTCCAACAAATTGCTTAGTGCTAAAAATCAATCTCAAGAGCGTAAGAGCACTGCTGCTGGCAGTGGGAAGTACATGAATGGGGCTAGTTATGCTTCCAGTAGCCCAAATGTTAATGGATTTCTTGAAGGGGAAAGGTACTCCATGACTGAAACCAAAGTCACAACTTTAGATGGGAATTTTAATGAGCACAATACATCTACCTCTTCTTGCAAGAGCCAGAAGAGCAATGGAAAGGCCTCCTCATATTTAAGTGATGATGAATTGGGGTCAATTGAGGGAGATATGTGTGCTTCTGCGACTGGTGTGGTAAGAGTGCAGTCAAGAAAGAAAGCAGAGATGTTTTTGGTGCGGACAGATGGGTTCTCTTGTACAAGGGAAAAGGTGACTGAATCCTCCTTGGCCTTCACTCATCCTAGCACCCAGCAACAGATGCTTATGTGGAAATCTACACCAAAAACTGTATTACTGTTAAAGAAGCTGGGGCCTGAACTAATGGAAGAAGCTAAAGAGGTACAATTTGAAGATTTTGTTTGTCCATGCCAGTAATTTCCTCCTTACACATTGAAAACTAACTACGAAACTATTTCTATTTCATTGTTGGTGTGCTGGAAAAACTAATCTGAAGCTGGAATCACTTGAGATTAGCATTTATAGTATCTGTGATGTTGATGGTGCAGAATGTAGACATTTGTAGCTGTGATGTTTACATGCTTGAATTGTTCCACCTATGAGGGTTTTATTTGAGTTGGTTTCAGTTTTGAGTCCTCTTATTATTATTGTTGTTGTTGCTGCTGCATTGATTAGTCCATTATTAGCAACTATTTAAACGTTTTCAGTATTTAGTGCTGGAATTATCAAGAGGGGTGGGGAAGTTGTTGGGTTGAACTAGTAATCTGTTGTTAAAGGTAAGGTGTGGATAACATCAGGTGATTGACAAGGATCATTGTTGGTAGGAAGTTGATGTAAAGCAACATCCTCCAAGTCTAACTTGAGCAATGGTAGTTTCTTGAACTGTCAGCTGGAAGTTTATCTCACTTTTATCTGCAGTTGATAGCATATATGCAGTTGCTTGTTTGATATGCAACAGTTGTAACTGCATTTTTGTGTTTGACGTGCAGGTTGCTTCTTTCTTGTATTATCAAGAGAAAATGAATGTCCTCGTTGAACCTGACGTCCATGACATATTTGCTAGAATCCCTGGGTTTGGATTTGTTCAAACCTTTTATAGTCAAGATACCAGGTACCTTTTTGATTTATTGTGTAATAGAGTTGATAGTCCAGTATTCCTCAGACCTGATTGGAATCCTACTTGTTTTATGCTCTTATGACAGTGATCTCCATGAGAGGGTTGATTTTGTGGCATGCTTGGGTGGAGATGGAGTTATATTGCATGCATCAAATTTATTTAGAGGTGCTGTACCACCTGTTGTGTCATTTAATCTTGGATCTCTTGGATTTCTCACTTCCCACACTGTAAGCTGCTCAGCTATGTGATCTTTGTTAATGGATATTGGATGTCCTCAGGATTGCCCATTTGTCTAATTTTTTCTACCTCTTTTGATTGATATAGTTTGAAGACTGCAGGCAAGACTTGAAACAGGTCATTCATGGTAATAACACAGCAGATGGTGTTTACATAACTCTTAGAATGCGCCTAAGGTGTGAAATTTTTCGAAATGGTAAAGCGGTTCCAGGAAAAGTATTTGATGTCCTAAATGAGGTCGTTGTTGATCGGGGTTCTAATCCATACCTTTCTAAGATTGAATGTTATGAACATGACCGGCTTATAACAAAGGTTAGTTAATTATTTTCTATGACAAGGAAAGGAAAAAAAATTTAAGCCTCAGTTGTTAGATAAGCAGTGAGTTATATCTGTTATAACTAATTTGACACCTGTTATCACCAGCAAAAGCTATAGATTATTCTATGCTCTAAATGTTTAAATATTTTATCTTATATAGGTTTAGAGGTGGTCAATCTTTTTGTGATTTTTCCAAGCTTTTATTTAATTAAAAATGTGCCTTAAGGTGCAAGGTGATGGAGTCATAGTAGCCACACCTACTGGGAGTACTGCTTACTCTACAGCTGCCGGAGGTTCCATGGTACGTTGTCCTTTTAAGTTTCAGAGATACATATAAGGTTTATTCTATGTAGGCCATTTTGGTATCATGGTTATTCTGTAAATAACAATAGACTGTTGCTAATGCAGGTTCATCCGAATGTTCCTTGCATGCTTTTTACACCTATCTGCCCGCATTCCCTCTCATTTAGACCAGTTATACTTCCAGATTCTGCAAGGCTTGAATTGAAGGTAAAATTATTCACATAAGGGAAGGCCACTCATAATTCATTGTAGAACTTTCTTTCCCATCTAATTAGAATCTAGTGAAATTCTTTTATGCTTTGGTTTAAACTAGTATACAATTTTTGCTTAAATTGATCAAACTAGGTTAATGTTCTATGTTTCCAATAGATATATCATTTCTCGTGTTCTGTGTTAGAAAAAGATCATTACTTTTTTTTGTTGTGCATTATGGCTCAATGCTTGTCAAAAGATTCTAACAAGGGAAGAATACATTTAAGTTCTTTGAGTTGCTTGGTCTATCAATCCTCTTAGTTTGTCATCATATTATCTACATTACATAGGTGTAGGTATGATAGTGTGTGTGGATGGGCATTGGAGTCTGCTTTTCTAACCTTCAAGTGAAACGGTTGTGGTGCTTTTCAAGGATTTGGCGTTACCAAATCTTTGCTATGTTATTTGAAGATTCATTTATTGCTGTTTGCAATCCCTGATTAAACTTGTTATGTTTCATTGTTATATGAGAACAAAAGTCGTTTCTGTGCTGTACTTGGCTGGAAGTTGCTTGTGGGTACAGTTGTTATTAAGAAAGATTAGTAGAGTGTTGCCTGACAAACCATCAATTGGCCAGTTGGACTCTTGTTTGTAACTATTTTTTCATTTTCTTGGGTTTTGTGATTTTTTTAAAACAAGGTGTTTGCTTTAATAGAGAATTAGATAGAAAAAGACAGAGTTTAACTTTCAGGGTTTACTGGCATGGCATTCCAATTTTGAGAGCTCAATACCTCATTTGATGTTACTTTGTCATCCCTTCTCAGTAATGTCTTACTAATGGCTATATTTGATGTCAAAATCTCAAATAGCTTAACGGAAGTAAATGTGGAGATTTACACAAATGAAGTTGTATTTCTGAAAATGCTTCTCGTTTTTGTTATAAAAGTTAGTCTGGTGGAGAGTTGTGGGTTTCTTTTGCTGAGGCTGAGGGCATTCGCTGCTAAACCAGGCATAAAAAATTGTATGAATATGCCACATTTTGTCGGAGAGTTAATTAAGGATGACATCACTGTACCTGTATCTGAAGGCAATTTCTTAGCCAAGTTACCAAAATCTTTTTATGTACATTATATAAAGCATTGAAACGTTGTTTGTGGTTTCACAGATTCCTGACGATGCTCGGAGTAATGCCTGGGTTTCTTTTGATGGGAAGAGAAGGCAACAACTCTCACGAGGACATTCTGTCAGAATATCTATGAGCGAGCACCCCCTTCCAACCGTCAATAAATCTGACCAAACAGGTGATTGGTTCCACAGCTTGATTCGCTGCCTGAACTGGAATGAGAGATTGGATCAAAAAGCCCTGTAAGGCTTCTGACATTGGGTAGGAAGTTTCTTCATCTTCATGGAAATTGCTGTACAGATATAAATTGGAAAGAGTGAAAAAAGTTTAATATACTAATAGTTAATGTTGTTCATTACCAACATAGGCTTTCCCATGAAAATAGAGTTAGTCAATTTTTACCCGTGAATTTTACAAATACTCAGTTACGATACTTACCTCACGAATTTGAAATTTAGCATCGAATGTGCTGTATCGAAGTCGTAATTAGTCCTTAAATGATCAATTACTTGTAAATCTTTCTGGTAGTTTTTGGTACAGATTTTAGTTATAGAGGATGGTTCCTATGGCGATCTAATTTTATTCGGATAAATTGGCCATGTTGATTTCGATTTTAAGTTAGACGTGTCAATTTCGAATGATTTGAACGTTTTAATTTAATAAAATTTATTTTAATTTTGTATTAAATATTTAAAATTCATGTTAAGATTTTAAAATTATTTTATGTGGACTGAAATTCTCTTAATCAAATTTTGAGTAAATTAGGCTGTTTTAAAAAAGCTCAAGTTGATTATTCCAGTCCAACTTCAATTTTGAAATCCAAATTTCAATTTTGGGTTCACTGTCAATTTTGGGCTAATTTTATGAGTTTGGAGGAAAATTGAAGTCCAATTTTAACTTAAGGCCTATACTCAATTTGGATTAATAAAAAATTACCAAAAAGAAAAAAATCTCGGTCACATGGCAAATAGTTTTCTCTAGATTTTTTCAGTTGCATGCCCACTTTTAACTCTGTTTGTCACCCATAAATTCACCCTTGGATCCTAGCACCGATTTAGTAAGCTCCACTATCCAAAATGCAGAAGCCACTGCTGTCCAGTGTAAGAATACTCCAAAAACCACAATCAAACTTTCTCAGAGGCGTGGAAGGACTCTGATTCTGGATTTGGGGAATAAAACCCACGACACACACACCATGGGAAAAAAAACACCAAACAAAAAAAATTTTCACACAGAGGAAACAAAAATTTTCGACTCTGCTTATAGCCAAGACAACCCTTGACCCACCACCAAAAAGACCGAACACCACTGCTTCCACCGTGATTGCCCACTAGCCCATACCTTGTCAGAATTATCTTAACCAAACCAGCTTTCAACAGATCCGGCCACCCATTCTCCACAAACCATATTACACCACCATCAAAAACAAAAAAATCCCACACCTAAACTGCCCATGACAAGCCTCCATCCAACAAAAATAAAAAAAACCAGTAAAAAACCTTTTTACCATCTGTTCCAAATTTCTCAAAGCAAAAAACCAAAAAAAAAAAGAAAAACCAGTCCTCACTGGATTAGGGAGGAACCCAGCAGTAATAAACCAAAAAAAAAAAAAAAAACCCAAAGAGAGTTTCGGTTGAAGAAGGGTTATTTTTAGCAAGGCTTTGCGTCTTGGTTGGAGAGGGAGAATCAAGAGAGAAAGAGATGGTTTTTGGATTGTAAGTGGCGTTGTAAGCGACAGTGATGTAAACAACAACGGCATGAGGTGGCTCCCGACTGCCTGCGACTTTTGGACAATCGGGATCAGTGAAAACAAAGATCGAAGAGGGAGGAACAACATATTAAAAGATCAGAAGGATCAGACGGTGGGATTGTGATTTTTAGCGATTTGAAGTTTTGGGTTTTGGCTTAGATCTAGAAACGTGAAGGTTGATTTGTGAAAAACGAACGTTGGATTCGTGATGAGGAGACAAAAAGGAGCTCGGGGCTCAAATTGGAAAGTCTAAGAATGTCAGCTGTCGGCGAGCGGCGGTCCGACCACTGGCCAGAGGCTTGGGGAGTCTCTTGGCTTTTTTTTTGGGAAGAATATGGATTTTTTTTGTAGAAAAAAAAGGAAAAGATGTAGCTTTTAAAAAAAATGGTTATTTATAGCGTTTAGAAAAAAAATGGAGAGAGGGTTGACTGGGTCAAACCCAACCCAAGACCCTAGCAGCCCGTGCCCACAAGACCCATCCCGACTTTTCGCGGTTTTCCTTTTCCCTTGACCCAAACCCAGTTTGACCTGCCTCTTGGAGTTGGGCTGCCAGCTTGACCCTTTGTTGGTGTTTTCGGTCCAATTTTAAAAGCTCCTTTTAAGGTATATTCTTTCTCTTTTATTTATTTATTTTCTTAAGCCCTTGATTATTATTTATGTTTGTAAACATTGTTTTAGCATTTTTGAAAAATAATAATAATAGTGATTGTAGTAAATAATAAAATTGAAAATACATTTTTTTGCAAATTAATTTGCTTATGGATGATTAGTAAAATAAAAATGAACATTAAGTAAAAAGTGAATGGTAGTAATTTTATGATTTTAAAAATGATTTTCTCCAGAAAAAATATTTTTATGGAAACAATATAAAATGACATTTTAAATGAAAAAATAATATTGAAAACTTTGTATAGATGTTGAGGAGAATTCAAAACTGTGTGTGTGTGTTTTTTTTTAAATAATTTTAAATGATATTTTAAATGAAAAAATAATATTGAAAACTCTATATAGATGTTGAGGAGAATTCAAAATTATGTGTTTTTTTTTTAAAATAATTTCGCTTAGATATTGAAAAATTAAAGAATTAAAAACAACAAAAAAGTTAGTTAAGTTAAATTAAATTAAAATTTAAAAATATAAAGTAAAAAATTTCATAAGTAAATTAAATAACTAATAAAATTTATTTCATTTTTAATTTTTAGAAAGAAAATGATAATAAGTAAACAGGAATAATATATATATATATATATATAAATGATTAAATGGGTTGTTCTAATTTTTAGTCTTCATTTACATAATTTATTTGTTTCATTTTGCATAAATATAAAAACTGTTAAAGAAAAATAAGAATTACAAAAACCAAACTTGTTTTGAAAGTTCGTCTAAATGTTAGATAGAGATAATTAAGGAAGTTTGGGCTATTGATAATTTTAATTTTTCTCATAAGAAAATAATAAAAAAAAATTCTTCGAAATCCTAAAACTTCGGAACTCTAAAACCTCGTGACCCTAAACTCTAAATCCTAAAATCTCGAAACTTTAAGCCCTCAAAATCCTAAAACCTTAACCTTAAAACTTTAAAACCTTAAAATCCAAAATCTTGAAACCCTAAAACACTAAATCTTAAAATCTCAAAACTTTAAAATTCAAAATCTCAAAACCATCACAAAATTTTAAGGATTTGTATGAAAATCTCATGAAATAGTTTGTTCCTAAATGCCGCCTAAAAGATGAGGTATTTAAAAAATTTTATTTTGTTAAATTTTTCATACAATTCCTTAACCCAAAATAATAATAAGATTAAACAAAAAAATAAAAATTTAGACCTCAAATATAAATAGTTACACCTAAATTCTGTCTAGATGTTGAGAAGTCAGGGTGATCTTATTATATCTAAAAACTCGATATCAAATTTGCATTTCATCATTATGCATTGCATTCATTAGTATATATGCATTTATTTATTATTGTTTACGCTCGTTTTGTATATTTATGCCTTTAATTATTGTTTGTTAGCTAATATTATCATCACTAATTTTTTCGAATAAAAATGTTTTATTTTAAAAAATAATTTAAAATGTGGAAGTATAAAACAAAACAAAAATAATATTTTGAGAGAAATAATTTTTAGTACTCTGCCTAAACGTTGGAGAGTTACTGAAAATTATCTTTTACAAAGAATGCTATTTTCAGTTTTATGAAATGTTATAATAAATCTTTAAGTGAAAAAAATTATCTTTAAATTCTGTCTAGATATTGGAGGATTTTAAGTAATTCTTTAAACTAAAGATTTTTGTAATATTCCTAAATAAAGGACTAATAAAATTGATTTTCTTTTTTGTTTCTAATAAAGGAAATTATTATTAAATTTAAAATCAAAATCATTTTATCCAACCTTGAAGATAAGACAAGATTGATTGGTACTGATTTATGGGCTCTGTGAGAGTATTAATTTTTTTTTTTTTTGGTATTTTAAGGGAGGCAGAGCCCTACAACAAGAGAGGAGGGGAGAAGATTAGGGTCGAACACAACCTTGGTGTCTTCTAAAGGCTTTCTTTTTCCTATGTGATACGAACTCTCGAATTCAATCTTGTTTTCATAAATCAATATTATTTTTTTGATAAACTTTAAACTTATTTTATTATTTTATTAAATAAAAAACACTTTCGATAACTAATCACACATAATAAAAAAAATATGATGGCTCTCTTTATTTTATTGGATTTTCCAAAATTTTACGTTTTAGACTGTCGCAAGACCGTTATGACAGTTCCTTGATGTTGAAACTATTTCAATTGTCCATGCAGAGCATGATGCCTGACGTATTATAAGATGACTTTGTTATTGACTGGAATTGTTGCATGTTTGATAGGGCTCTTACCTTTTGGTACTTTACCAAGGATAAAAAAGATGGAGCTACCCAAACTTACAGAAACTACCCTTCAGTTCCTCTTTTTCATTTTGATCACCTTCCATTACTTCTGCCTAGTTAACTATGAACCAAGGAGATTTGGGATACGGCTTTCAGCCTGGTGCAGTTATGCTAGTAAAAGAATATAGACATGGCTAAGAGCAATTAATCTGTCGGTTGGTGCCTCTGGTTGGACATAGATTTCCTGGTCATATTGCCGCTTGATAAATTTTCTGGAGAATAGATTTCATGCACTGAAAAGTGAAAACCATCCACCTCACAATACGCCATAGATTGTCATTTTCTTTTCCATTTTTTATAATCTAGCTAGAAAATCTGAGATTAGACTGATAAATTTTGGTCCTCTTTCCTCTGTACGAACTGGAACTTGCATCTCAGTTACATAATAAATTAGAAAGAAAACAGAAACACTTTGATCGTCTTTTCTATGTGCTGTGAGATGAATGTCTGTGGTTGCATCTATTTTCTCTGAAATAATTGTGAAAATTAAATAATAAGAAGTCAAACAGGAAAGCTTTTTCTTCAAATAAAGACTGAATTCATAAAATACATATGATTCTAATTTACAGAGCCATGAGCATCCCATCATGTTCATCACCCAGAAACAGTCCAAACTCCTAAAGCAAACATCCTAGTCATATAGTAAACTCATTTGGAGCTCTCTATCCTTCCCTCCAATTTTATTTTTAAGGAAAGAAAAGGCTTCCTCTTTAGGCATTACTTAATTATACAAAGAGCCATATAACAAGAAAAGAAACTAAAAGGTAACCAAAAAAAATAAAAAAAAAACACATCATTTTAATGTTTTAGCTTCTTACCTTCTTGCTGTTACATGGCCCTTACAGCTTGGAACCTTGGTTCTTTAGGGAGGAACTTTTGCTGAACATAAATAGACATGTAGTCACCAAAAACAAACTTGGGATAAGTTTGTTCCACTTCTT